ACCAGGAGCTTCAACTTGACTGATCCAAAATGAGTAAGACATAACATTAAAAATAATTCTTTCATAAATTATATGACAATCTCATGATTTTCTAAAATATGATTTGGTGATGCATAATATATATTTGTAAAATGCGTGTTTATGTATAGCCTTTTTTTTTTCAAAGATAGATTATTATTTATTTTTTATTGTTTTATAAAGCATTATATTTTTTTATTAATATGCATTACTAGTGACTTCAAATTTAAAAAATGAAAGCAAATCTAAATGAGTATTGTTTATAACTTCAAAATTTGATGGATATCGGTCAGAAGATAAAAATCAAGAGAGGAAAAAGAACAATAAGGGCAAGCAGAAAATTATTAAGATTTAAACCAAGTTTTTGGGTCTTCATATACTGAAAGAAAATATTTGAGTGATTTGTGTTTGGCTAAAAGGGCATCACTTCTAATTATTATATCACATTAGTGGAATTACACCAAAGAATTATATCTTACTTGCAAGAGATGATGAAAGTATTGGAATGATTAAAAGATCTATGGAGAGTAAATAAATTGAGATTATGATTGAAACCCAAGATAAGGAAGAAGTTATTATGCGCCAACAAGTTGAAGAAATGAAAGATGGTAATAAAATGTTAGATTGTATCATTCACCATTTTTTGACAATTAGAAAGAAAATATTGAACTTCAAGGTTGTAAAAATTTCATAGTTGGTGCACTTTTAATAATTTTTTTAATTTCAAACAAGTTCTTTGATTTGATGTCATGATCAATAATTTTGAAGTGAAAAGTTAATATAGTAATAGAAGTCGAGTTACAGTTATGTTAGCACAGAGGTTAAACTTGAAAAGTATGAGTATATTAAAAGCATATGGCCAATAATTGAAGAGAGAATTATGTTCAATACATTTATGCCCAAATTTGAATAGAGCAAGTAACAAACTGGTAAAAACATATTGGAAAGCTCTGCAGATTGAAGAGATTGTAGAAAAAAAAATCTAATATCACTTCATAATATATTAATAATCTTTTAAAGAATATTCTTAAATTATTACTACTATATATGAAATTATGAAGGTTAAGAGAGAAAGCTCGTAATAGTATTTTTAGATCAGTAGATGATAACCAAAAAATATGTGTCAGAATTGCAAGTAGAACTGATTAGCAAAAACTCTAGCTTATATATTACTTATACTTATAACAACCTTAATTTTTATTTTAAAAAAAATATTTTTAAAATTTGCATTGATACTTCTTAACAAATTGTAGACATCTGATCGTTCTTAAATCTTAATGCATGCCACTTGAAGTCAAAATACTTAAGTATTTTATTATCTGCAAATCTTTTATATAGTAATAATGGACTTTTTATTATAGCATTTTTATTTATAGAATTTGTGTCTAAATGAGTTGGGACTAGTTTTTAGAGTGTTTGGGAGTTTTAATTGATTTTGTTTGCAATATCTAGTATTTATATTAAATATATATAAGAGTTTAGGGATGCTACTAAGCTTGTATTTCTAGTTGTAGAGCATAAAATTTATGTACATCTTTAAGAAGACTTAAAAATTAATTTCATTGTACTGATAACTATAAGATTTGAGACCTAGTATGATCAGTACTAACGCGTATGTTAATTTGATTTTAATCTTGAGATGAATGAATTACAAAATGATACTAACGCGTATGTTGATTTTAATCTTGAGATGAATGAATTACAAAATGTTTCTCTAAAAGCCTATTCTTGCTTATTTTGTGTTACAAGTGAGACATAAGTGATTTCGTGATTAAGATAAAAAATTATATAATATTTAAATTATTTAGTGCATGGATTGGAGAAGCCCGGAATAAATCATTGGTTAGACTTGGTTGATATGATCAAAGCCACGCTCAGGAAATAAAGAGCTAAAAAATGAATAAATCTATATTGAAAAGAGCAAATTTCACAGGTTGAAGAGTATATTAAAAACATAACTATAATGAAAGAATAATTCATTACAAAACTCAAAGCCACAATGGAAGACATGAAATTGATATAAAAAATAAAATTTGTAATTATATATGGCAAGTAAATGTGCTATCATGCACCCATGCAACTATATTTATTGGCACCAAGGAGCACCTACTAATATATATATACGCTCATAACAATTATTATATTATTAAGTTTGTAGCCAACTTTCTAATGTTTACTAATAGTTATATTCATGTTAATATTTTTGTTTGACTTGTAAACATATGATACCTACAAAGGTCCAAACTTGCACTGCCAGAGAATGACCATTGAAATACAGTAGATGTAGGCACAAATGTTGGTGCTTCGAACAAATTCAAAGCAACAGAAAGACCCAATAAAAAGGAGATTTAATTTTTTGTAGAAAATAACAATAAAAAAGCAGCAAATGTTCATAAATAAAGGCATTATGGACATGAAAAAATAGCTAAATCCAATAGGCCAATAAAGTTCACAGCTACTACAGGTTGACGATGTTATTTTATTCTCTTATTCAACAAAAAGTAACCATATATTCAGAGCAAAATTATCAGTAAAGAGAGAATACTTAAAATTTGATAAATTTGATGAATGTCTTTAGTTTTAGTGCAAAATTAATTTTTTTTTAATATAAAAGTTTAAAAGGTGCGTATTGAAACCGTTTTATGTAGAGAAACTACAGGTATTTTGACTGAAAATACACTATTAAATATTCTGTATAAATTTTTTATTTTCAATGTAGATTTTGTCATGTAATGTAGATTTTATTTTACTTTTTTTGCACCATAAATTCAAATCATAAGCTTATGTAATGCACATTTGTAAATTAATAAATTTCTAGCATTTTTCAACCAAAGCTAATGTCAGCATATTTGTCAATATTAAATATTAATTTTATTTTTAATTTATATTTCAAACAAAATTGTTGTAGCTGGTGCAATTCTCTTTATCTATGAAATTCCTTCAATCACCTGATTCTATAAATGTTATAAAAATAATTTTTTCCCATTTTATATGGACTTGACCATTAAGAAAAACTATGTTTCCTATGGTGATATGATGTGATAACTCAGAATAGCGTAAGAAAATATTAAGCGGCTATTATTATCATTACCGAGAAAAACTTATTTTTTTTTTCTCATTTTAAGAATTTCATTTCATTTGAGCTCACTTATTATTTTGCTTTTTCTTTTTTTTTTCTTACCAGAATGTTGCTAATTCATGTAACTTTTTTATAAAAATTATTATATATGAAGTTTTTGTGATGTTGTGGATTGCACAATATTAAATTACATAAATCAAATTTGTAATGAATATATTTCATGCGTTGTTGCTAAAATAAAATTAAAAGTCTACATAGATTTTGAAAATTTTATTTAGGTGATCTGACACAATATTAGAAATGATATACTGCCTCGAAAGATATAAATAAGCTTTGTAATTGATCCCATCACTTAATAAGGACTTCAAAATTGATGGCTCTACATCACCAAATATTTTTCCTACCTGATTAAGGTAGGTTTTATTCTATTGTGGGGTATAGGTCCTATAGTGGCAAGCTCTCGTAGTTAATCACATCCTAGAAAAATGATCCCCTTAAAACACTCTCGATTAATTTAGTCGTGATATCTCTATGGACTTTAAAATTTGGCAACGATTGTCTAACCAGTATTTAGAAGAGAAGGATCAAGTTAGCACAGCTCTATTCGGATTTCAAAAGAAAAAGGGTGGGAAGTGCCCAAATATTAAGAAACTCAGTAGCACTCCAATCTATTTTTTGTTGGACTTTACATTTTGCAAATTGAGGTTCATTTAGATTTTGTTCATTTTTATTAGAAGGTAATGATTGAAATTTCAATAGCACAAGACTATGGAAAAGCTTAAAAAATAATGACTTATGATGCAACAAATGGAGAAGTAATATGCCTCGAATCCTAAAAAGTTAAGAAGAATGCTACCAATACCAGCATGGAGCCCAAACCCTATCTAAGGGCATGCAAAGCTACTTATAGGTCAATCCTACTGAGGATAGACACCAAACCCTTGCTTTAAAGTTACTTAGTCTGCTCTAATGAAACACAAGATAGGTATGATTGTTATTTAAATTTAAAAGATTAGTGGGACTTACGACTCAATTTTATAAAAGACAGCGCCTGGGACCTATGCTTAGGCCCTAGGAGATGTTTCAATTAGGAATTTAAACTATTATTTCACGAAAGACTCTCTTGTCCATGGTGAACTCTTGGTAGGCCTTTGTGTGGAACAATGAACTTCAAGAGGTGAATTTTGATGCATGTGATTTCTCTTGTGCGATCCAGAGAGAATTTAGAGCGGAATTGTTGTAAGTTCTAATCGTGTGGAGAGAGGATCTAAATGGTGTAAATTTTTGTATATTTACACTTTCATATTAAAAATTTTGATGTAATGTGGCTCTGTGGTTTTCACTTTCTCGGTTTTTTTCATGTTAAATCATGGTGTATTTTTCTGTGGTTACTTTGTTATGCATTTCTGTTTTATATTTTATTCTGGATTTCTTCAAACAGTGTAATCGTTTTCCCATGATATGGTTTTGACTGTAAATCTATCAAAACACAGATTTTCATCCCAACAATTCAAGTAAATCTCTTTGTGGCATTTCAATAAGCTCTCCATATGTCATGGATTCTGCAAGAATCAATATGCTAATCAAGTATGCTTATTACAAAATGAAAGAAATACGATCAACTCATAAGCCTTAAATAAAGCGAGATGCAATTCGAAACCAGTTTATAAGCATAAAATACATTGGATTTATTTATGTTATTTAACCTACCTTGATCTGATTGATATACTTAATAATAAGGCTTTTGAGTGTAATTTAACTACAAGAAATTACGAATCCAACACTTGGATTTCAAGAGGAAATAAGATATAAATCCAATCAAAATACATTAGCATATTTCAACCACATAAAACGCATCCAAGAAAGTGATTTAACAAAAAACACCGGTCCTACTGAAGCATACCTTGGAAGAAGAGTTGGCTGATTCGGTTGGGCTGGAGTAAATAGAAGAACAAGGTGCGGGGACCTTGGTGCAAACCGGGAACCGAGGGAGGAGGGAGAGGATTTCGGCTGCTTTGGCTGTACCCGTGCGAACAGGAACCACGGAGAGGAGGCGGGGTTCAGCTGCTCCGCTTGCGGCTTCGTGCGAACGAGAGAAGATGAAGGGAGGCCGCTCGGCTCGGATCCATCCTGCAGCAAAACCAAAAGAGGGGTACCTATGCGAGCTGAAGGGGAAAAATTTGCGTAATCAGTAAAAATAGGTTACAGGAATAGGTTAGATGAAGAGTAATGGGATTATACCCGTATTATATTTCTGTGACCTCCATGTAAATTATTGTAATTTATAAATATATAAAAATAGAAGCGTGAAACTCATTAGAAGATACATGCAAGTTACAGGTAAATTACAGGAAGATTATAGGGAGTATAACGCGGTTAAAACCCCCCATTACACTCCTTGTAACTTACTAACGTACGCAACTTTGCGTAGACGCGAACTTTTTCCTAACTGAAGAGAGGAAAGGGGCTTAAAAAAAATTGATGTTTAATAGGGAAAAATTTGCGTAACTAAGAGGTAGGTTATAGTAAAGTTACAAGAGATATAATATGGATATAACCCCTCAATATCAGAGATATAACGCGGATAAAACTCTCCAATATCCTCTGTATATCATATGTATGACCTCTTGATGTACCAACGTTGCGTACATCTTACGTATGCAAATTTTTCTCCTTCAGCTGGGCAATTTTAAAAATTCTTAAATTCGAATAAGATACGTTAGAATTAGATGTGGATGATATATTTTCTCATCCGGATGTAATAATTGATCCCAATATGGATGGTGAGATTTCAGGTCTTCAAAATTTCTAATGAGTAACATACTCTCTACCTGTATTTATTTCAATTTGATTTTAAAATTTATTTTAAATGAAATTTGAATTATTATCTAGATTTTTTTCTTAATTGCTAAAAATATTTCTAGTTTGTTGTCATTATTGTATACTCTCGCTCATAAATTGAGAGATCATTTCATGTAAACGAGATAAAAAATGGCTAAAAAATGAGATAAAATTATAGTTACTTTGAATATGTAAATTTATTTATTAATTGTTTTGATTATTTATTAGTTTTTAATTAAATTTGTTATAATTATTGTGAGCTTGTTATGAAACTATAATTCATTTATTTTCTTAAAGAAAATTTACACCCCTTAAAAAATGATGTTAGTTTAGCCCCTACACTCATGATTGTGTGCCATGGTGAGTTTCATTGCCTCTCCAACAATACCAATATAATCAAAGTCAAACAAGAATTAAGCGAGTTGTGTTGATTTTACTGCTGCAGGCCTATCTTTGTGATTCAGAACATTTGAAATAACTGCAACTTGTGCAATAAGATTGACCAAGTTCTTACAACACAAAAGTTATAGAGAATTTCACTATCTTGCCAACAATCCAAGTCGCTAACCTTGTGGGTGACTGGCAATCGACGTCCAGCTTTTCGGACATAGCAGAAAACCATGAGACTTACTCATCTAATCGGACATAGCAGGTCGAACCAAAGCCAACCAGTTGTAGATAACCAAGCCAAACCTAACAAGAATAAAGACGACTAAATGGTGCGAGCCCGAAGTAAGATAGGAAATATAGGCATACATGCCCAGCATAAGGAAGCCAATCGAAACCTGCAATTAATCTTTCGAAAGATTAGACCCAAGGAAAGCCTCTGCTTCTCAATACCATGAATCATCCTACAGAACATCAGAGACTCCTTATTAGGGATTGAGAGATAACCATACCACAATGAGTTTAAATTATCCATCTGGCTCTCCTTGTTGATGAGTGAGCTATCTATCAGGTTATAGTGATTGCTCGATAGCCTAGCATTGCTCAACTAATAGAAGCTCCTCACTAGGGATCGAAGGCTGATAGACTAGAACATTCGATCGACTAAGCTTAGTCCATCGAGTCAGTCCTGGCGATCCAAAGTCAATTGAAGGTCGACTAAAAACCTCAACTCAACATAGCTAACCAACCATGTCTTACCAAACCAAGGTTCATTAAGCTTAGCCAACCGAGCCAGCAATTAGCCGAGCCGCCAGTCCATAATGTAAAATAATTAAAATATCCAGTAATACCCCCATTAAAGCAATGACAAATATGTAATTTCACATATTATACATTCACCTCTACAAATAAGAGATTATTAAATGAAATAGATAAAATATTTTATAGTTTATTATTGTGCAATTCTCTACCTATTTCTTTCTCCTTTCCTATGCTCTGTTTCCTCCATGTGTGATTCTAGATTTAACAACAAAATTCTTGTGATGTTTGATGTTAATCCATTTCTTACGTATAATGTCATAATTGTTAAATCAATTAACTATGAACCCTAAATAATAAATGACAATGAAAAGTTACATCATAATAACAAAAAATAGGAGCATTTGCATAATAACCACACCGTTTTTATATATTTACATTTCCAATGCCTAAACTTTTATATTTAGATGCATAGCAGTCGTATATTTAATATTAAATAAAAATATCACACTCACTACATGTATAAAAGGAAAACACACATTTTTCATGTGTTGATTTATAACATCAAAGTATTATAATTATTATTACCAAACTTTAGGTGCTAGACATGTAACCACATAAGACTTATGCGGTTTGTATGTAAATTTTACATAAAAATATGAAGATTTACATACTTGCCACACTTTTTTTATGTATTTATATATCTAATACTTAAATATCAATTTTTACACAAATGCTTCTTTACTTGGGTACTTATACATGAAATTGTATATTTATTTGTTTAGAAGTTTATAAATGCATACACTAAAATTACTAGCACAAATTTCAAAGAGAATGAACAGACAAAAACAAAAAGCTTCTCCAAAGAGTAAGCAGTCGACCGACTAGTCACCGCAAAATAGGTGAAGTTGCGCCTCTAAACCCAAGACAGGTCAAAGCTCATGAGATGGTCCCTCACTGATGGTGATAAGATCCACCAAAGGCGAGACGTAATTCATCATAGCAGCAAGTCTCATCGAATATCTCATGTAAACAGCGACAAAGATCGCCTAAGATATTCCAAATTTGAGTATATGGCTGAGGCAACAAACCGACCAGGTAGACTAGAAGTAAACTACATAAGATTTGAGTCAAACGACAAGTGAGTCACGATTCACTCAATAAAAACAAATTATCAGGTGCAACTCATATACCATAAGTGGGACAGATGCTGGTGCGGAGCGGAGCCCACGAGCGGCATGGAGCGGAATGATCTGTCCAATCGAGGGAGTTTTTTTATATGGGTTGGGAGTGCGGGGGCAACATCCCGTTGTTTGGTACAGTGGTAATTTAAGTAATTATATATTGTACTATAAAAGTTATATATATGTGATGTTTGTAACCCTGGGTGAGGTTGAGATTCAGAATCTTGTATTCTGTACTCTTTTCTGAATATTGAAAGGGAAGTCACCGCTCTGCTCCTGATGACGCAGACATCTTTGTTGAACCTCATAAATATCTGTGTTCTTCTGGATTTGTGTCGATTCCTATTTTTCTTTTCCCTAATTTCTCAACACAAATCAACACATCAGTCTACCAACCGACTTACCGAAGTGTAAACAGAAGCCCCCTGATCGCGATTGGACGACTGACCTGTTGCTCTTGTCGAGACACACAAGATCATCATTCGACCGAACGCCTCGACCGATCAAACACAATGCACGATCGCCACTCAATCGATGGCCTTAGTATGGCGCCTTCCAACAAATCAATAAACCAAATACCGTCTTATCAAAATTCAAATTGTAACACATACACGAAATGAAATCCAAACAATTGATTAGAGAATTAATCATATTAAAGAATAATTTTCATAACTATTACATTCTTTCTGTAATTGTATAAAATATATTATTGTAAATAAGAGATAAAAGAATGACCAGATGAGGTTGGTTATTTGGACTCTCTCGGTTCCCTACATAGCAACTCTTGTTTGACTTTTTTTCCTTTTTCACTTAGACTCTAACTCTTCGCAAAAGACAATCTAAGATCCAACTAAAACTAATAATATTTTTGATATGATATGAAAGATTTGAGTGATATAAATATAAAGAGCAAAAGTTTAAATTTTATGTATGCAAATACATTTGAATTGGGCAGAACATATGCAAATGCCCAATTCGATAATTATAAAACGAAAGAACAAATTCGATGGCCCTCTTTCACTAACCACACTAATTAGAAGTATTCATCAATGGATTCTCGTTGTCATGCATCATGATATGGTGGCCAATACATCAGCTAAAAAATAAGAAATCTTTGGCATATAACCAAAAAAAAAAGAAAAACAAAATAAAGCTAATATTAATAATTTGAGTCAACTAAACTAACAAATACACAAAATTAAGAAAAAAAATATGGTTTTCATAGATTGTTAAGGATGTTCAATTCTCGTAGCCTTCTTCTCCTCTGCATCATCAAGATAATGTTGATAAACATAATTAACAAATCCTAAAATTGAAATCAATAAAGCCACGACCTTTACTCCATCCATCCTATCATGGAAGAAAACCACCGCAAGGATTGGTACCAGAGGAGTAGCCAGGGTTCCAATCACATTCGCAAATAGAGAAGAAACCTGAAAGATCAAACCCACATTCCCCACAGAGTACACCAACCAGCAAATCGCAATCCAAATCAATGTCATCACATACGTAACCTTTCCCTTCTCCGACCCTGCAAACTCCTCACGAATCCCCCTCCACTCCCCGCTTGCGAAAAGTCCGGCCACCGACGAAGCTGTAGAGACTAATCCGGTCCACAAAATCATTTCCAGGACAACGGTGAAGGTCTCGGACTTTATAACCTTCTGGTAAGCCAACTGGGTGAGGGAGAGAACAAGGGAGAAACCAGCAGATGCCGCCAGTGTTAGAGCTAGTCCAATTGAATACTTATGGCCGGAAACCGAGCCGCCTTCAGAGTGAACGCCGAGGAGAGCGGCGGCGGTGGTGAGGAGAATGATGGAGTTGAAGATGAAAGGAGTGAACTTTTGGGAGTTGAGGAAATAGGAGAAGACGGCATTGAAGGCAAGTTGTGTGGCGCAGACGAGGGAGTAGGTGGAGACAGGGAGGTAGAGGAGGCCATAAGCGTACATTAGATTGTTTCCGGTGGTAAGGAGGCCTAGACTGATGTAAATTGCGGCGAGTTTGACGATGGAGGGGCGGTGCACGGCGGCGGTGGACGACGGAGGAAGGAGGAGGAGAAGGGGGATAATGAGGGGAAAACCGGCGGAGGGGGTGATGGTGGCCATCCACACGCTCTTTCCGCCCTGGTTGTAGCAGAAGCGGCCGCGGAGGGTGGCGGA